AGCAAAATAAATTAAGACGAAATGCATTTTTTTTATTGATTATAATTATAAAAAAAATGATGAACATTGTACTCTATATTAAATATTAATTGCGGGCCATATCGAAAGAGCCGTGTGTTTGAGACCACTAAACTATTAAAAAAATAAAAAAAACGTTTAAACACTGTTGGAAAGTTGTGCGTATTTGTTAATATGGACGAAAATAAGCGAAGCGTTTGTAATCAAAATGTATATGTTTCAGATATGTTATATTTTGACCCATTTTATTTGTTGTGTAAAAAAATGTTTTTTTTTTTTTTTTATTTTAATAAACGTTTTTGACATGTTCCTTATTCATTTGAAGTCAATAGTCCTTCTCTCCATTAAAAACTTATAATTACACTACCTACCTACACCCTAAATTGTTAATAGTAAAATATATTATGAAAAATATTCCAGCCATCCCAAATCTCAAATATCTATCGGTAACAACTGATGATTGAGATGAATTTATAGGGGATTCGCTTTATTGTAATTCGTCATAAAATATGTTTGCGAAACAAATAAAATATAATAATATACGCGTGTACCATTAAAATTTAATTTAATTTCCAACAAATCGAACATTTTATAACAATTCGCAACCAATTATACGAAAAGGTGACTTTCATAAGTGAACTGTATAATTTGCCATTTTGAGAATAACATTATTTATTAACTATATGATATTATTTCCAAAATTCTTATATGAATCGCGAGGTGTGTTATGGTTTTTTCACTAGTTTCGCATTAACGACACTACTGTTGCTGTAAATTAAAAAAAAAAGTGCTGCGATACATCAACAAACGATATGCACCAGCAGAAAAACAGTTGTACAAATTATTTAATGTCATTTGATGAGTCTGATTAGTTAACATAGTACAGTTGTTACAAAGACCATATATCGATTAAGAAATATATTTTGTTACGGAAAAATAAAAATAGTTATGTATAAATTATAAATAATGATAACAATATTGAATAATAATAAATAATATAAATATAAATATATATTAATATTTAATAAATAATAATAATAATAATAATCATAATATTAATGTATAAATTACGTGATAAGAATATTTTATTACAATATGATCCTCTCCAATTTCAATGCATCTTTTCTACAAATTTATGTAATGAAACATAGCTTCTGTCTGACAAATTTTACCAATGGTGTCAGCAGTTAGGTACTGATTTGTTACACGGATTTATTACAGCTCTTCTAATCCACTTGTCATGTTAACATCTTGATTGGTTATTTTAATTTTCCATATTAATAATTCAACAAAAATATAATTACTTTCAACTGGTGGCAAATTAAATTCAACCAAATTCTTAAATTATTACCTTTTTACATCTGTAAATTTGAAACTAAATAAACACTCAAACTCTATTAAATATATACAAAAAATAATATTAAATACCGGTTTTTATTTTAATATGAATAAATCAAAAGCTATACCAACCATCAAAAACGGAATTATGATTTAAAAATCGAGTTGTTAGTTGGTTGATAAAATTTTAAATAAATGGCATAAAAACTGTCACTCTATAATATATAATCTTCTACAGTAGACAATTAAGGATTCGCTCTAATTGTTTGTTTTTTTTGTTGTGTGCTTTTTGATTATTCCTATATGTACCAATAACATTTGCTAAATTCTATTAAAATATTAGATTTTGTAAACCCAAATTTAATTTATTTTAATTTTTCTTATTTATAAACAAAAATAATAAGAATTAATTAATTAAATAAATAATAGGTATTTATGGGTCCAATAGGGAGGTTCCAGACCCCACGGACCATCATTTCCTTAAATACGCCACTGATAATGTTATAACAAAACTTAAAGTACTGAATTTAATAATATTGAATAAAATATTTTTTAAGTGATTTCAAGACCACAATAGTAGTACATATATGTACCTATAAAATACGAGTCAGTTAAAGATGAATCTATTATTCTAGTCGCAGCTATGGTAATGAATAGTAAAATTTAAGTTAACCAAACCTTTGTTAAACATTATGTATATGATAGATGGTAACTATGATCGTTTAACATTTTTAAACTATGCACTTTTTTTTTTTTATTGATTAGAACTTAACAAATATACTATACTTATTTACGGACATTTTTATTTAATAAATATATTTGAGCAATGGTTCTTAGTTTTTATACATCTCAGAACAAATTTAAAGTTTACTTGCACATTCTATTTGAATGAAAATCCGTGTAAAACAGCTCTGACTTATAAGTAAAATAATTTTTAAGAAAACAGACTTATTTAAAAGTAATATCATATTAATAAATACAGAAAATAAGACAACTTAACTACCTATAAAAAAAATCAAGGGGAAGGGATCATCAATCCTCGCAAATACGCTACTGCTCATCTATCATCTGTAAGTTAAGCCACAACACATAAATGATCCACAGTTTATCTCACATATTATTTACGGAAACTAACTGTTTCAGAATTCTTGCCATAGAAGAATCGCGAAATTCTCCAATTCAGGAAAACATGTTAAATTTATTACGTGTGTTCTATGTACCGTTATATTTATACTCCAAAGTGATGTGTAGTTTGTCCGTTTTATGCATTACAATATGCTTGCTATTGTTGTTAGGTGTTATTGATTTTCGATATAATTACACTAAATGTTCAGATTGTGTCTACTCGTGCGCGATGAGCTGGCATTTACATTAGGCGATCATTTAAGCGTTATATTAGGTTTATCGTTCGAGACCCTCCTGACAACATGTAGTCTCCTCAACCAGCTGTTTCCTGGATGGTTCCAAAAATATTTTCTGTTCAGCAGCTTTTTGCTTTCGACGATTCACATCCTTTGAACCCTTGATTGATAACGTTTCATGTAATCGGTCCCTGTGGTAGTAAGAATGCAGTCATGAGCCACCAGAGCTACTACCTGTCATAACACGAGGTATCGTCAAGACCTCAGTATCTAGTATGTTAGCGTGAATCGCAAGCTGGCATTATTTCTTCGTGTAGTAATCTCACAGGTATTACAAGCAAGTCGACTACAAGCATAGTAATTCTACCATGATTACGAAACCTTTAGGTAATGCGAGCACGTCGAAGGTAATACCTTATGGAGTATCCGAGGCCATGAAGACCTCGGCAACCATGAGTCTTTTTTCCTGTTTCCTTATTGTATTTCTGTTTTCCTTATTGTCGACCTTCCAGAAACACGTAACGTAGGAGTAGCATTAGTATATATTCGGATACGCTTGTATACTAAGCCATAACTAACTCGCCTCAACTCGTAGTCTATGTTAAACTCCTTGCGGCTGAACCATAGATTACCTTAGTATTTAAATTGTTAGTTTTCATTATACTTTAATAAAGTTTTACATTTATTAAACGTTCGTGTATTTTGTCTCAACCTCTGACGATTCCATCTACCAGTCACTAGCGAGACCTCCGTCATTAAACAATCGTACGAGCTCAACCATTTCAGGTCGAGGCTCGCTACATTCATTTGACATTTAATTGTGACGTTTTACCGTTCACCAGCACTTCTAAAGTACCTTACTGATCAGTTACAATATGGAACAATAAAATGTTCATCTTAGAATGCTAACAATATGAAATACTTATCCTATAATTGCTAGATGGTTAAAAGATAGATAATTATTGTAATTAACCAAATAAAATACATATTTTTTATGTTTCAATATAAATATAAATGTATACTTATATACTTATGTGCTTTGTACATAACCTTGAACATTTAATAATTGCATTTAATAGGACAAAATGAAAAATGCCTGTTAATCAAGTTCAAAGTACTTAATTTCATTAAGAGGATTCGATCCAGGTTAAGTTTTCTATTAAAATATATCTATGTTCTGCCAATTGTACTGACCTGCCTAATGATCGGATAAGACTCATAAAAACACATTTGAATTCGCCATGAAGTTGACTTGAAAACGACTTTTTTACTTTTTTGAATTATTATTTTTATACCCTTAAAAAATTGATTTTAAAATCTTAAATAATAATAAATTTTTAATGTAAATAATATTAAATTGATAAAATAATTTGAAAATGTAAACAAGTCGATTTCAAGTAAAGATCATGACTAATTCAAATATGTTTTTAGAAGTTCTATCGGATGACCAAGGAAACCAGTATGATTGGCAATAAAATGATTCTTTTCGAAAAAAATAGAACCAAATCATATTCTTTACAATTATATAATTTGACTTGTGCATGCGCATGTGGAAGTAACCTTCTTCCGCTAATCGTTGCCACTAATTATATTGCCCGCAATGTTATCAATCTGTTTATTTTATATTATATTATACCTAAATGTAACTGGGCTAAATATTGTCATAATTCAAAAGCCTATAAAAAAATTTTCAAAGACATAGGTAATTTTGTATGTGAAAATGAAAATTTTAGAAATCAGCAGTAGTAGTTCATTCGTGTTTGGTTTATGGTATAACTAAAATACAAAGAAGTTAATATTTTATTATATTTTTAATATATTATAAAATAAGCAATTCTGTGATATCTATTATTGGAAAACTGGTTTGCCATCGGGCCGGTGCATTGGTGATTAGCAGCACGAGATTAATATAGCCCAGCATGGCATATTGGAGAGGGTTTAGAGCGAAGTAATAACACACACTAGTGATCATTTATTTCGCACACATTCTCATGGCGTTCACGCACACGTGTGACAAATTGCCTATATTCAACTCTTTAAAAACTACCCGGATCGAATCCCCATAAAGTAAGATTGAATGAAAAAAATTAGAATCAAATTACATCATTTGAAAGATAAATAAATAAGCATGGTTTTAAGATTAAATCATTTTAATATCAATCAAGATAATAGTTACATAAATAATGGTATCAAGTAGTAAAATGTTTATGAATGAAGATACCATATGATTTTTAATGAGTATATATATGGGAAGAATAATAACTAATGAGATTACGATAATAATATTTAAAGTAATACTTAAGCAAATATTTTATTTTGTTCTTCAGTGGTTACAGTTAAAGGTTGTGAGTAAAAGTTATGACATGCATACTTAACCACTCAAAATGTTAAAACCACAGCAGATTTAGCAGCAAGACTCAGTGTAGTGCTATCAACTTTCGAACTGAAACAAAAAAAAAAAAAAAAAACAGAAGGTAGTTTTTATTTCAAAAGGATTCAAATTTAGTATATTTGTTTACAAGTTTGATGATTTCATGAAATTCTTCGTTTCTTACTAAATTATTAGTATTAATGAAATATTTTTCATAAGAAAAATGAAAAAAATTGCAAATTAATTTATAAAACTAATTTACTAAACAGAAACTGTCACAACACAAATAATTATTTTAAAATAATTTCTAAAATAATAAGAATATCATTTAGATATTACTTAGATTATTTACCCTAGTATATTCAGGTTAAATTTACTAGGAGGGGAGAATATAGTGATTATAAGATTACTAAAATAATTATGTTATTTTACATTTATGTCTAAAATTGAAATCACTATATATATTCAGATTATTCCACATCTATAACAATTATATTTATAATGATAGAGGTTAGACCCTTTCAAATTTAATTAAATATTAATAGGTACTAAGTTTGATTCACATGACTAAAAATTACCTTAACTCTAATTAAAGGAAAGGAATGTGATTTTATATAATTTACCAGGGGCATAGGATGAAAAAGGTTGGGAACACTGGTCTCGATGTTTATACACATATTTAACTTATAACAGTAATAATCTTAAAAAACGAAGTATGCATATTTAATGAGGACCTACAGATTATGTACCTAATATTAACGTTTTTCTATGTATTTCCTTAAATAAATTTATATTTTAACACATATAGATATAAATATAGAAAGTAATATATGTATATAGAATAATATTAAAGAAATCAAAACATACTTGATAGCAGGAAGTATAGAACAAGCTGATGGAGTGCAAAGTGATAAATTTACTTCAGCTGGAGTTCCATCAAATGAACTGAGATCAAGAACTGTGACATTTTTACTTAAGTTCCAAATAAATAATAGGTTTTCTGAACCACTCATTACTCTAAAAATAAAAATATATTCAAGATGAAAATACAAACAAAAAGGTAAATTTTCTATAAATTATATTTTTACCTATCAAATGCAAACACAGTATCATTATTTAAAAGTTTGGCATTTAAAGAACCAAATTCAACAGTTGGCATTGACCGTAATTCTTTTAATGTACTTTCAATTAATGTTATATTTGGTAAATGCTTGCCTTCAAACAGTTTAGGGTCAGCATTAATGAAAGGTGTACCTGGTAGTAATGAACCAAGAATACTAAATGCATCTAACATTTCTTTTTCCCAACAATTAGGTTTAACATCAGTACAAACCCACTAAAACAATAATACAATTTAAATATTTTATAGTACATTTTATTTGGTTTTACTAACTTCCCAAGAAGACCATGATGAAGGTGTATTTTTTTTTGAAGAAATCGCATTTAGTAGTTGTTCTCCCGTGAAATCAGATGTTAGTGTAACAGGACTATGAACCATGTCCACTTCCGTAACATCCTTAGGATCAAGATCACTAACAATCAATATTCTGAAAATATTTTAATAAATAATTAATGTTTTAGGATTATTATTTTTAAAACATTAAATAAGATATAAATTAAAAAAAGTTGTAGGACACTTATAATTTCTACAATATAAAAATAAATAAGCTATTCAGTTTACTGATAAATAATTAAACACATTCATTATGTAAGATAGTAATTTACATATATACTTAAATGAATGATGCATAAAGGCGTTTTCTTGATATAAGTTTGAAATAGTTATAATACAACCAATTTGAAGTTAAACTGTTTATTATTGTCATATTTGAAAATAAATAATAGATTTTGGGTATATTATGAGCCATAATGCAATTTTTTTTATATTTAAATCTAAAGCTATACAAAATTATGGATATTTATTAATTTAGTAAATAGTTAATTATTCATTTGTACCAGACTATGTGTATATAATTATGATACATAGTTAAGGTATTAATAAAATATTGAAATTATTTAATTTGTACAAATTTATTTATTTATAAAAAAAAAAATAAAACAGGAATAATGTACTACATTAAAATATAAGATTCAAAGAGTGTGTAAACCTTTTTTTAAAAATATAGCACTAAGTATTTTAAAATCACAATCATAATTCTTGGTGAAATCAAATATAAATTAAAAAATTTAACTATTCATACTAAAAATGTTTTTCCTCAGTTAAAATAGTGAATTTTATTGTTTAAAATAACTTACCCAGAATTATTTCTTATTAATTTTCCCCAGTGTGATATTAGGTCATAGGTTTCTGGAAGATTAGATGTTATTTTATCAGCCAAAGAATTATATTTAGAGGTCACTGTTTGTGTCGAAATATCAGTGTGATTTTTGAAGTCTTTATCTACAAACAAATATTGTACTTCATCCAAATAAAATCCATCAACTCCAGTACTTAACCAAAATTTGAAAATTTCCTAAAAAAATAATTGCAAGTAATATAGTTATATAATTTCCAAATAAAAATAATTTATCGAAAACCTACTTCAAAATAATCCACAATATATTTATTACGGAAATTAAAGTCTGGTTGGTTTTCTGAGAACTGATGAAGATAAAATTCTTTTCGTGTATCAGACCAACTCCAGGCAGGACCTCCAGTTACATTCAACTATTATTTTGAACAATTAATGTAGCATAAAATTATCAACAAACAGCAACTAATTATTAATTAACAATTAACAATTAATTATTATTACAAACCCAATTGTTTATAGGGATATGTTTAGTTCCATTTTTGAAACCAGGATTCCAAATATAGTAATCTCGAAAATTGGGTTCATTTAAAGCTGATCTTGCAAAAAACATATGTGATCTTGAAGAATAGTTAGGAACTAATTTCAACATCACTTTCATACCTAAATACATAATTAATTAATTATTTTTGTACATACAAATATTATATTTCATTGAAGTACCTTTGTCATTTAATTTTTTAATAATGTATTCCAACGAAGTTCCATTTACTTCAGTTACATTATTTTTTACAAAATCAATAACTTCTCCATCATTGCCTATTAATACTGATTTCATGACCACATTTTGAACACCCAATTTTTGCATATACTCAATTTTTTCATCAAGACCTTAAATGTAATATAATTTTAGTATTGTAAATTTTCATTAATATTTATTTTCTAGTTAACTTATGATTTTAAAAATAAACATAATTATTACTATTACTATGCTTTGTTAAAATAATAAAATATTTTTAACCCAAGAATATAACAATTAATTTACTGTTATTTAGTGGGAAATAGGTAAATACATAAAAATATACATTAAATGTATACAGCAAACCAATAATTTGTTTAATTTTTTATAATATACTCTAATACTCCTAAATCAAGGATGGACAGGGTCGACATACTTTTTTTTATCCAGCCCATGCTACATTTTCATAACATTTTAGCATTTATCAGTATTTAATTTTATCGTGTTAGTTAAAAATTATCTATGTGTCTATACTAGTGTATGTTTACCATTTTTATAGTACTTTCAAATGGTTAATATCTTACCGTTTTTGTTCAGAAGTAAAGATGTATCAATAATATAGACTGGACTCTTTTGATACCATTGAAGTTTGGATGAAGGGAAACACTTAGGTGTCATAAATATGATGAACAAGGCACCAAACATCATAGCAAACCATGAAAGCCAAAATGTGACGAATAAAAGCCATCTGAGGCGTATCCAGAATGGACTGTTTGCATATTTTATCAGTTCTTCCTTGCCCATACCTGCGTACGCTGCTTCCATACTATGGTCAGTCACTTCCAACTCTTTCAGTTCATCATACTTATCACCAGTGGTTCCCACCTGCTTCTGGCCCTCCTCCATGAGTTTTTCCACGGCACCATCCTCTTTTTCCAATGCCATTGCGTTCTTTTACACTAGAATAAAATGGAAGGGCAAACAAAAATGATGAAAATCTATTTGAACATGTTTCTTTGATGACTTAGACGTTGTAAATGAAACCGTACCGAATGTTAAGGACACACGGTCAGCGACTGCGACGGAACTACGCAGTTATTTGTTGTGATTCTCGACGAATTGTCGCGGTAAAACAGATACACACTTACATAGACGTCAAAAGACGAAGTGCGGATGAGATAACTACGATATCAATGAACACAAGACGCTTGATTAATCGATGATGATGATAATAATAATATTGATTGCGAAACTTACTACTGGTATGTTACATGGACAAGCAGACGATATCAGTCGGATTGATAACACGAGTATACCCATGGACTAAGATATATATAAATATGTATATCTTAGTCCATGATTATAACTGATAACGAGTGACACGAAAGACAACGGCGATTTTTCTATGGACAAACTCTACTCACAGTCTAGCCCAGTGGTTCCCAAATTGTGCACAGCGGTGCCATAGGGGTACCGCGATCTACGTTTCATAAGAAATAGTTTAAAATGTATAGAATTTTTTTTCTTTATTGTTTTCCTATAAATTTTATTGCAAATAATGTAATATTTTCTATTGTATATTGGAACATTCCCATTTTGACCTTATAATATTTTCATTGTATAATTATAATCATAATAACAATAATTTTCATTTATTTATTTTTTAAGTTTGAGAATGCATTAATTTAAAATTAAATTAAATTTTAATAAAATTAAAAAAATTATTTATCCATGAGTAACTTTTTTGTTCTGTTTTTCATGTTATTCATAAAAGGACACGGAGGCTAGATTGGGTGCAAAAAAAGGCACCACGGAAAAAAGTTTGGGAACCGCTGGTCCAGCCAATGGCTGTTGCTCGGCAGCGATCGACACAGCGACCCCCTTCGCGTAATCATAACCCCAACTGATGCTGATGACGTTTTTGATTCAAATCTTTGAATCTATTTCGAATGTGCAGCGACCGCTACGCGCCAACGGAGTCATTGTAAAACGATAGGCCTACCGGGAAATCGAGATTCGTCGGGTGCCCGAACCCTTTGTTCATCACAAAACGTCCATCTGTACCCAGTTAACGCCCACTCGCGTTCAATACCGTTTCACTTGACGCTTATCGATTGCGGCTTACACATTATCCGTAGTTCGTCGGATGGATGGACCGTGCGTCCACCTGAAATCGGAGTCCGAATTCGAGAATGGTTGCACGGGCCGACTCTTCCTTCAATAAAACTGTAACATCGCCCAGCTTAACGGGCCTAGGCGGACATTTGGTTAACTTGTTGGGGGGCTATAATAATTTAATGTAAAGTAATCCGCAGGGGCTTCGTCCTCACACTCCCTTTTCATGCACAAGTAAAACTTATTACTATTAAAAATATAGATATGTATAAATTGTATTTAAAAAAACACTAAATAACGTATATTAAAAATAATTAATATTTTATTTTAATGATAAATATCTACTTTTATCAGTAAAGATATTCAAAATATCGTCGCTTTTTATATTTTTCGATATATCTTTTTCAATATATAGTATAGAAAGATCGCTGAACCTTAACCAAGTTTTTATTTTTTTCATTGCACTGAAACTTCTTTCGCAAGTAGCAGAACTAATTGGTATTGTTAATGCTATTATAAATAGTTTTTTATTATTTCTTATTTTACGATTTTCAAAAAAAACCAACAAATAATTATAAAAACAACGAATTACATTTCTAACAAAGTTTTGATTTTTTTGGGGGGGACTATTAAAATATTTGGGAGCTACCATCCCCCTAAGCATCCTACGATTCCGTCTATGTTAACGGGGAGTGGCCGCTTGCTCTTTGCACGCGAAAAAAAAAAACGCGCAGGTTACTAATTCCTTCTAAGTTGGCGCAAGGGCGTATTTTAGGGATCCGTATTTAAACCGTATTTTAGGAATAGATCATATCTAAGATAAACCTTTCAATTTTTCTTAAAGTTGATCATTTTATAACGATACTTAGTGTTTATACCAGGGCATCAAAACGTTTTTATCATGTTATAAGTATAACGTTAAACTATTCAAAAAGCGATTGAAATCGATAACAGATAATGAAACAGAAACGGAAAACGAAATTATATTTATTTATAATATTTTTTTAAATATCGAATAACGTAACAGAAAACGATTAACGATTGAAACATAAAATAAATTGTCATCAAAGAATATTTATAACTATCAGTAAAATAGATTTGGAACATGGTTATTTTTGTAAAATTGACTTAAATTACTAGGTAATCTAAATATAATATCAGTGGCGTATTTAGGGAGGGGCCCATAGGGGCCCGGCCCCCCCCC